AAAACAGACATGAAATAATCCAAAACAAAAAAGGTGTAATGACCCTGATGACTATGGCATTCTGATAACAAGATGCTACTCAGAAAGAAAGTGTTCTTGCTCTCTATATGTAATTATTGTTAGTTTAATAAAAAGTATTTTAAATAAACAGTTCAATATATATACAGTATCTCACAAAAGTGAGTACACCCCTCACTTTTCAGCAACCATTTTAGTATATCTTCTCAAGGGACAATACTATAGAAATGAAACTTGGATATATTTTAGAGTAGTCAATGTGCTGCTTGTATAGCAGTACAGATTTACTGTCCTCTGAAAATAACTCAACATACAGCCATTATTGTCAAAATAGCTGGCAACAAAAGTGAGTACACCCTAAGTGATAACAGCTGTATGTCGTTTAACCATGCAAAGCCACGTCCTATTCATCATGTTCATGTTTTTGTCTGCTTGACAGGACCATACAAATTTGTGTATCTTGTATTAGAGCAGTTAAAATTTGGTGCTTTGAGTACAATTCTCTCATACTGACCACTGGATGTTCAACATGGCACCTCATGGCAAAGAACTCTCTGAGGATTTGAGAATTAGAATTGTTGCTCTCCACAAAGATGGCCTAGGCTAAGAAGATCTGTAACACCCTGAAACTGAGTTACAGTACAGTGGCCAGGGTCATACAGAGGTTTTCTAAGACGAGTTCCACTCGGAACAGGCCTCGCAAGGGTCGATCAAAGAAGTTGAGTCCTCGTGCTGTGCGTCAGGTACAGAAGCTGGCTTCAAAAAACAGACGCATGAGTGCTGCCAGCATTGCTTTGCAGAGGTTGCAGAAGCGGGAGGTCAGCTTGTCAGTGCTCTGAGTGCTGCTGGTACTGGGGAGCTGCGGTTCATTGAGGGAAACATGGATTCCAGCATGTACTGTGACATTCTGAAGCAGAACATGATGCCCTCCCTTCAGAAACTGGGCCGAACGGCAGTTTTCCTACACGATAACGACCCCAAACATATCGCCAAGAGATATATATTTATTTTTTTATTTTTGTTTTTTTTAAGTAAGCATGCAAAACTCTGTACTGCCATCTACTGGATAAGCGTTTTTTTAATGGTATGAAAGAAAATGCACTCAAAAATATGCAGTAATTAATTTCTCTATATATAAGAAACACGTCAGGTGACCAAAAGTATGTCAGATAATCTGGCCATGAAATACAGGGACTTGATGCAAACCAATGTGTGATGTTCAAAATAATTTTGAATTAGGACAATGCTCATAAAAATGCAATAAAGAACCTCATGTGCAGCTAGCAGGGGCGAATCGGCCGCAGGCGTTTTCCACATGAACTGTCTCTGGTACTCAGAGCTCAAACGGCCATTCCTCTGTTGCTCCGATCTCAGTCCCGCTCGTTTCCTTAGCACATGGTTAATCTAATAGAAAACATAAGCTTTGACTAACTGTAACTGCAGTAATGATGGTATTAACACCTAATAGTACAATTGTAAATGTTATACACTAATTACAGTGTTAAAAATGTATTTGAAAAATATTAAAATGGTTATAATAAAGGGGGGGGGGGACTGTGTGCTCGTCCACACATTTTGGTCAGATTCTGTTTATTAAAAGGAATACATGTGAACAGAACCACAAATGGGCCTCTTTTAATGTGTTGCCGTTTTGCGTTATTGTTATTTAAAGTTTTCTAACAGACTCACTTATAACCAGACTCACTCCATTTAGTCTTTGTTGCTGCTGGTCTGCAGCAGTGGTGGATGTCTGAACTGCTTGCTCCTCTGTCTGTAGTTGTTGGGATGGTGCAGCGGTGCCCTCTGGTGGCACGGGGTCTCTTGGGGCAAGAGGGGTCACTACTCTTTCTGCACTAGAGGCTCTGAGCACAGGTGTGACAGCTGGAGGTGTGACAGGCCTGCTCTTCTCCTGACACCGTGGAGCTGGATCATGCCCTTCCCATCGGAAAGAACTGGATATCTGAGGTGGATAAAATGGCACTTTCCTTTTGGATATAAATTGGGGTTCCTGGGTAATTCCTTTAAATGCAAGAAAAAGATCAATCAATTCAATTAATTCATAAACAAATTTATTGTGAGATAATTATTTTTAAAAGACATTTGTCGACACATCTATCTATCTATCTAGAGCTATTGTCTGGCAATATCTATCAATTGTCTGACAATATCTATCTATCTATCTATCTATCTATCTAGTACATACTTGACTGATCAGAGCGCAGTCCTGCCAGTCGCATCCTGCGATGTGGAGAATCGCTTCTGGATCGTGTTGTTCGACCTTTGTATTTATTTCGATACTCGCTGATTCCCTATTAGAAGTGGAGCATACAAAAAATAAGTACACTTTATAGCATAAGTATCGCACATTTTGCATTTGGTATGTTATACAATCTGCATATTCAAATGAGAGATCTAGGAAATGATCTGTGATTTATCAGAAAAGCCATGCTTAACCCGTGCTTAATAACTAGCTCTTATGTGACAACTGGATAATCTTGATGCCTTTTAATCGGCGCACAAACTTCTTCGAGACATAACAGGAAGTAACTTATCGACGGTAACTTGTAAAGGGTTTACCGTTTAAGTCGTGTCTTAATAAAACCACATAACGTGTTCTATAAGTGTATCTATTTGTTTTCGGCAACGCGTAATCTATATCTTACAAGGATTCGTATTCATGTATATTTAGTTACCTAAATGTAAACACCCAAAACAAATCTCAAAACTGAAAGCATTTTTGCAGCCTGCAGCGCGAGCTCTCTGTTCCTCAAACAAATGACGTGACGTCGCACGAGCGCGTGCACCTTCAAATCTGGTTTTATTGTGTCATGTTATAAACAATTTAATATGTAATACATAATTTAATTAACTTACCTTAAAACGGACAGGCATTCTGAGTCTGAGCCAGTGGCGACTAGTGCACAGAGAGATCCATGAACAAAAGAAGTGTTTTTGTTACACGCTTGAGATCAGATTCGGTTCAGGCTTTGCTGTTACCTTGGTGAGGGCTGCAGCGTCCCACGATACGCGCATGCGCACGACTGTAAGCCGATTTGTTATGACGCTGTACTGCGCTGTGTGTGTATGTGCAGTATAGTGTAATTTGTTATGTTACTCCCATTGATTAGATTAGATTTTCTTTGTGGTAAAGTTTGTTTGATAAATTAAATGGGGGCGGGCGGGTCTGGTCTTTTCAGCAAACATCCTTTCTCACAAATAAAAGAAGTATCCCTTTAAACTTAAAACGTATACAAAAAGAGCTGACATATATA